TTGCCATGTCAGCTTTTGCCCTGAACGCCGCCGCGTTTCCTTGTCGGTTAATCACGTGGAAGCCTACCTCGATAACGTTCTTCGCGAGACCGGCCAGCAAATGGTCAGGCGCGACGACGTTGCAGCGATATGCCTCAAAACGTCCTGACACCACACGCTTTCCATCGCTTGTTAACGGTATGTCAACGCGTACGCGCTCAAGTTCCCTTTGCAATGCAAGAAGAGGAGAACTTTCGTCACTAACCTTGTTGCTGTCTTTCATACCAAGCCGGTTTGTGTCTCGACTGTCAATTTCGCTGTTGCGAAGAGCTTCATGGCGTTCCATGCACCTCAAGGACGCCGTGCGGTGGGCATGGACTTTTGTTGTATAGCCGTATCCGCTCTCACCGACGCCGGTGTTCTTCCGAAATGTACAAAGAGTGCAGGGCGTATTTGCTGTATGTCCCATAACATCCAATGTTTCAGCGGCCGCTGGATAGTCAGCCACAAAACCCACCACGTCGACAAAGATTCTTACTCTCTCGCCGGTAGGCGTGTGTGCTTCCACACCTTCTGTTGTACACTTAACCAAGTCTGGAATGATTGAGAGCAGTATATTGTTCGTTGATACACCTGGAGGGGTTATTCCAAAGATTCTGACAGACGATCGCGTGTTACGACTTCGCGGTGGTAGTCCAAGCGGGATCATGTAGCATCCACTTGCTGAACCTTGCGGATACAATGAAGAGAATGGGGAAAAGTCATCGCAGTATAGGAGAGCGCGATAGACCACGAACTTTGTTCCATCCATTAAGCGGCCGCTGTTTTGCATTCTTCTGTCAATGTTGCGGGTGCGTCCCGATATTTTGGGCTCTTGGAGGAGGAAAGGCAGCCCTTTCAAATGTTGAGTACCGAGCAGACGAAAGGGTTTGTCTGGAGCTCCATTGCCACCATCATTGAAACGCTGACCGGCCCCGTTTGTACTCATGTTTTGAAACCAAAACAAAGTGTCTGAGGTGAGACCTTCCTTGTGTTTCCAAAACCTAGAAACCAACATACACATTCTCGACGTTGCCACTGCTTCACTTTCTGTAGGTCGAAGGAGGGTACAAATATCCCCAGGCAACACCTTCTTCGAAGAACGAGCCCTTGCTTCAAAATCTATCCTTCCATCTCTACGCCTCACAGATCTATTATACTTTTCCAATGGCGGTGCTGTACAAAACTGCCTGGCCAGGCAATTCTCCACGCCACGGAGAACCTTCATCGCCATGTTGGCGCTTCTTGTAACATTTCCCTCACTTCCCACGCACCACACGGCTGAAATTATACACTTCATTACAAAGTTATTCTCTGCGTTCTCATGAACACGATAGCCCAGATTGCGCACGTCAAGTGACAAACGTGATGGAAGCAGTTTTGACAGTTCCAGTCGAATCACGGCACCCGGGAACGCCTGCACAGTACATGAACCACTGTGGACGTAAAGTGCTGTCGTAGCTTCCGATATTATCTGCCGCTCTGCAACCAGCTTCGAGCTTTCTATGCATTCTGCGTCCGCCACACCACCATGCCATCGACTGGATTTCGGATACATTGAGTTGAAGAACGGAGCCATCATGATGTCCACTTTCGCCCATTCACTTGGTGGAACGATACGAACAGGAGTTTTAGACCCGTTCGAATATTGCGATGCGGTCTCCTCGTTACCCCCCAAATTTTCAACCAATGACGTTCGGTTGAATGCCTTCTTCTTTCGTCGGACGACAAAGTACTTGAGGTCACTCTTGGGAAAAAGATACTTCAAAGCATGCGGAAAGAGAGTCCTCTGCACGGTGGAATAAGATGGGAACTTAATAGAAGGAGAAACCCAAGACAGTATATCTCTCAGGAGGTTATACTGTTTGACCGTATAGCGGACGCTACCGCAAACTATTACGAAGCCCAAAAGGTTGTACCATGGTTCGAAAAGCTTCCGAGACGATAGAAATATTCGCAAAACTTTCTGGCTGTCCAGCCTGCTTCCCATTTCGGGATCGTCACTTGATAAACTTGGAAGGCACTCCATCCCCTCACAGCTCTCTTGATAAATACTTGGAATAATGATATTGTCATTTCCCACTAAAACACCGTTTGGATCGCTCTCGGGAGCGAATTGTTCCGAGTCGCCAAGTTCTGGGAAGTGGCCTTCATCATAGTCGACAAGATCTATTCCTTCTTCGACGACAACCGTTTCTCGATGTTCCGAGCCCTTTATCTTCGATCTAGTACCTTGATCTCCAGTCTGATTGTTCGACGAAGCGTGCCCATTCAACACTCCCAAAATATCAGCCGCTTCGCCAGTTTCCGGAAGCTCGAGAGCTGGGGTTTCTTCTGCTTCCATAAGTGCGGCCGCATCTGCATCCCCATCGAGATCGCATCCTGGTCGTGTATGAACGTCATGGAACAGGGCTGCCAGGTCTGGCAAGTTAGGGACGTTGTCCATCCAAGTAGTGCCCATCGTACGACGTCTCTTTCTTCGACCTGACATATGAGGAACGGTGGTGCTGTCGTCCGATATTTTCGTGTGGATTATGGTGTTGGAAGAAGTGAGAGTGTAGGATGTTGTTGAAGGAACAGTGCGCAGGGGTCCCCAGGCCTGGCGGTTTAGATTTTGCACACCAAATAATTACATTACAAGTGGCGGTCTGCTAGTGTCTACCCGACCGTGAGGACAAAATTTGAGGACAAAGGGATTTTTCTTCGAACTCCTTGCTTGTTTTTTAGTTCTGATTTGACTACTGGGTACTCCACATAGCCCTTGACATAATCAGCATAAATCGTTTGTTGTGGAGACAAGTTCTACCTCTAAAAGTGAAGCAGAACTTGGAAATCTTCACTGTAAGCAGTTTTCTTTGTTGTACGAAATTGAAAATGGCTTCTTCGTGATTTACAAGGTGTTTCATTGACAACCCCGCCGTTCAAGTGCGATATGGCGGTCTTGAAGTATTCTTTCAGAAGAATTCGTGTCGGCTAAATGATGAAAAATTATTAAATTTGTCGGATCTGTTGAGGTATGATAAGCTTGGTCGGTCGGATACACACTACAGTAGAGGGTATTAACTCTGCCTTTTTCTGTCCACCGTTGTTTACTCCGGTATCCCCCAACCTCCTCTTTCTTTCCCCTCACTAATCCACCATGACCACTGCCCCCGCATCTCCTCCCGTCCTTCTCTGCTTCTGTTTTTCTCTGCGCCCTCTCACGCAAGCCACGCCCTCGCTGTCGCACCGGCCCCACCCCTCGCATAAGACAGCAAAATCATTTACACGGTGAGCTCCTTGCCCTCGCAGCGATCTTAAGGGGTATGAGGCAAAGTATGAGCCGTTTCGACAAGTGCAGCACATTGACAGGCAAGACCACGAGATTCAGATGGCAGATGGGGACGGCGTCGGCGAGTTGTACGTCAAGTTTCACGGACCCAAGCAAAGTAGGTTGTCCCTCGCTCCTCTGCTTTTGTAGTACTAGCCGTGCTTTTGTTTGCGTGGGGAACCGTACTAACGCCTGTTTTTCATCTTTGGTAATGACGCACAGCTCCGTACGAGGGCCCGTCCGGCGTCGGCAAAGGCATTCTAATCGAGAGGCTGCGTCAAGAATTCCCCACCCTATTCGGTTTCTCCGTCTCGCACACGTCTCGTGCCGCGCGCCCCGGGGAAGAGAACGGCAAGCACTACCACTTCACGACAGCCGAACAGATCGAGTCCGACGTAGCGAAAGGCAAGTTCATCGAGCACGCCGAGGTGCACAGGCGCCACTACGGAACGTCCGTCGCGGCCGTGGAGACCGTGAGAGAGCAAGGCAAGATCTGCATACTCGATATCGACGTGCAAGGGTGCCGCGCAGTGAGAGCGAAGGAGCTTGTGGCAAAGTACGTTTTCATTGCGCCGCCAAGCGTAGAGGAGCTCGAGAAGAGGCTCAGGGAGAGGGGCACAGAGGAGGAGGCGGCCATCGTCACGAGGTTGGGAAATGCGATGAGGGAGATCCAAGCCATGGCTTGGATGAGGAGGGATTATTCGATGCTGTTATCGTTAACGATCAGTTTGACAAAGCGTACGCAGAGCTTAAGGAGCTAATCAAAGGCGATGTGGAAGAAGCGATTAAGGCGCAGGCGTGAGAACGGAGCAGACGTAGAATTGGAGTAAGGCGTATCTATAGCTTGGTGGGGTGAGAAGAGGCTCAGGGGGAGGGGCACAGAGGAGGAGGCGGCCATCGTCACGAGGTTGGGGAATGCCATGAGGGAGATCCAAGCCAAGGACGAGAAGGGATTATTGGATGCTGTTATCGTTAACGATCAGTTTGAGAAAGCGTACGCAGAGCTTAAGGAGCTAATCAAAGGCGATGTGGAAGAAGCGATGAAGGCGCAGGCGTGAGAACGGGGCAGACGTAGAATTGGAGTAAGGCGTATCTATAGCTTGGTAGGGTGTCTCTGGAAGGGGGAAGTATAATTTTAACTTTTCGAGGTTTCCGCTTTGTGAGGGAATTCATCTTTGTAGATACCATACTGTAGCAGACTTGCGTGCGCTCTTCTGGACGAGCAACTCGAAGAAGCGTATCGTCCTTTGAATGAAAACTACGTTGAGGACGGAGATGCTATGTTCCGCTTTGATTATTCCCGGGAGTTTTTGAGGTGGGCTTTGCTTCCACCCGGATGGCATCCAACTTGGCATGTGGGCGTCCGTGTCAAGTCCAATAAGAAACTCGTAGCCTTTATTACGGCTGTCCCAGCGACCTTGCGTGTTCACATGGATTCCGTGAAAGTGGTAGAGACCAACTTTCTTTGTGTCCACAAAAAACTTAGAGCGAGGCCACTCGCTCCGATACGAGAGATAACACGACAGGTTAGCTTGCAGAACGTCTGGCAGGCGGTATACACGGCTGGGTCCATCCTTCCGCGACCCGTCACGTCATCACGATACTACCATCGCTCGCTAAACCCCAAAAAGCTTATCGAAATCGGGTCACATCCGCTAATCTCCTCTCCGACTTAAAAGACGGAAACCGTAGCCATAAATACCTCATCCTCCACTCTTGTTCGACTACGGTACAACAACTCATCATGGTCCTCAGAAGAATCCTCACTGTGGTCTTCAGAAGCAGGGTCTGCGCTACTACTAGATGCCTCCTTCAAATTTGCGTCACCATCAGACTTCTCCTCCTCTGAGTCAGCCTTCTCCTCCTCGGGGTACTCTTCCACTATAGGCGCACTCGGATCCACGCCAACACTCTCACCAATCCACTTGTACATTCTGTCTGCGTAGCTCTTGTAGTCACTGTCCCGCATTACATATCCGGATGCAACTAGCGCAGTGTCGTACACAAGATGCCCAAGCTCGGCTGCCCTTTCATCGTCCTCTCCGCTTTCTACAAGGCGAAGCATCTCTTTTGTGATCGGGTGGTGTGCATTAAGCTCCATAATCTTACTCTTTGGCGTCATGTATCCGAAACTGTCGGGGTCCGCGAATGCTTGCGCTCTCATAATTATTTCCATTCTCGCCGAATAACCGTACTGGTCCGATGCCAACACACACACTGTATCACTGAGCCGGTTTGATAGTCTCACCTTGGAGACCTTGTCTCCCAACTTCTTTTTCAGGAATTTCGTCAGCGGCTTGTACATTTTCTTCAGAGCCTTGTTCTTCTCCTTCTCTTCTTTTCTTTCCCAGCACACTGGC